TATGCGTAGAATACTACAGTTAAAATTAATCATATTTTAATTGCGTCAATTTGTTGTTTCGTGACCATGGGATAAACACAAACAAATTCAAATATTTTTTTTACAGTTGTTAGTACGATATCCGAACGATAACATTAGACTACACACTATTTGCTTACAGACTATCACACTTATTGCTGTTAATACTATTACTATTTTATTACTTATTACTATTATTACGTGTCACAACAAATATCGAGTTGTGACCATACTGCAAATGACCCAGCAAGTGACCCAATAAAATATTCGATGTAAGTAAAGCGTATATAACTTAGAACGTGTTAGTTAGTTGTGACGTACGCGTTCGTGTTTACAATCGACATTTTGTTTATGCAAGTACCATATTCAAAGTGTAATCAATGTTTGATAATTATTTATTTAATCGGCACTGCTCAATATTTCCGTTCCTAAGACGTTGGTAACTGTTTAGATAACTAAATGGGTGTTACGTAAACGTGATATGTCTCCTACTGATATTGCGCAGCCATATATTTCTTAAAGCTTGTGTTTTAAAGGAGGAGGTCCACCGTTATGATAACGATTACGATATCTTTTTCGCTGCTAGCTTTATTAAGTTGTTGTCACATAATTTGTAGTGTGTTATAGTTTTGAGTCGTTAATAAGCGATTGTAGAAATATAGCACTGTTATGGAAACACGCAACAGTTTCTGCTGTTGCACGAGTGTTGTCGTCTTATTATTAATAATTGTCTATCAGTTTAATTCGCCCTGGCGTGTAGTTTGCATAAAGCCTATCAGTTTACTTAATAAGAAAAAAAAATCAATAACCCGTATTGACTAATATCCGGTTTAGTGCTGTTTTAAATATATTCTGTTTTGTGTCCCGCTATGATGCTTGGTTCGCAAATAGAAGACATACTCAGGATATATTAAATGTTTTCACACATAGATATTACGCCACATCCATCATCACAATGTACCTTACATTACCGTCATACAAGCATACTAATCTACTACAAAGAAAATATATTATTTATAAAAACGAATTTAGTTATACAAATTCAATTGAGAAAATAATAAAAGAAAATCAGTTTATTAGTTAATAAAAAAGAAACATAATATATAACTGGATTGTGAGAACAGAACGAGCGCAAGTTATAAGATTATAATATCATATGCATGTTCAATCTCGCCATATGCATCCTACATGGCGAGATTGAAGTTGCACCCACAGAGAAGGTGAGAATTTCAATTATACTGTCAATGAAATACCCTATGTACATTGAGTTATACGAATTAGCCTTAAGGTTTGATTATACATAAAGGAACATAATCGATTGGTTGCAAGTTAAGGCCAAGGTTCGAATTTAAGGGAATAGAATTTTAAAAAGTATTTACGACCGTGTATATTCACTGTATAGATAACAGTGGTAGGGCCACGCAACGGTCTTCGTTGTTGCGTGAACGTTCACGTCGATCCGGGGAAGTACCACGAGCTCACAATGGACCGGTGTGAAGTGAAAGTTTCTTACTCGTGCGTTTTGTTTGGTGAATGAGGTAACCGGGGCCCACTTAAAGGCAACGCATCTGCACTTCTACGGGTGTTGTAGATGCCCGTGGGCGGCGGTTATCACTTAACATCAGGTGAAACGCGAGCTCACTTGCCACATTCTCACATAAAAAATATATTAAATTCTTTAAGACTTATAATAACGCTTCCTTTTATGTCATTCCTTTGTATTATCGAATAATCTGTATGTTACAGAACTTTTCACTTTTGAACTTGAGTTTGGAGCACAGAAACAGTAGTTTTATTATGTTTATGACGTCACTCGGGAGTATACGTGAAACTGGAGAACCTTTTTGAAATTTCATTTTAACAAATCACACTGTTTAACATACACACGGCGTAGAGATTTTTTCAATGTTGCACACGGTCATATAGTTACTTAGCTTACTTTGGATTGTTAAAGATATGTTTATCTTAAGTCAAGTAAAGTACCTATGATAAGATTCGTGCGCACGAGTACCATGCATTTATAGGGAGAAAATTCCAAAAAATGTGCCTACGATTCATATGACGGCTTTGTAAATATGACCCACGTTTCTGATTTTTGTAAACAGTTGGCTCCCGATCCGTTTTCACTGGAATACACATAATTATTCTCTCTGCCACTGAGTGCTGGTCAATGACAACGTTTCTAAATATTTAAAAGACTGCTTTATATGCTTGATGTCCACTACATTTCGCTCTCCCACTATAGTTTCATCCGCTCTTCTGTCAATCCTCAAACTCCTGTACATTAATTTGAAAAGGTTGCCTGGAAGAAATAACTTTTAGTAGTTTCTTCCAGAATTGTACCCATAACTTCTGCATTAAGTTTTTGATTTTTGTTTATTTTATTTATGGTGTGAAATAAAATACATTCATTCATTCATTCATTTTACTTTCTCAAGAAATCTTTGACGATCACAGCTGCGCACATATTGAATTTGTTAATCCTATACATTCGACAAGCTCTTTTGTTTCTTTTGAAATACTAGTCATACGATCAAAGTACCATGTAATGAGCTTATTACTTGGTACTCTGATTGCACGATTGAAAGGAAAAAAGAAAGAAAGATAGGTATTTATGTGACACAAAACAGACTGACGTACACAACTCTCATTTTAAACAATAAAATTAAAAAGTATGGACATAAAATGTAAACCTCCAATATGTATATTTTTCCCTTTTTGATTATTGTACGTCGTAGTTCATGACAAAAAGTACATGCAGAATGTTGCAGTGAAAGCAGCAACGCTGATTTTCAGTGATAAATAAATGATAAAATGACTCCCTTATTACTTTTATCTAGCCTCAAGTGTCAAGCACGCCTTCATCCTGTGCTTAATATAAATTTATGTATACCGTGCCCAGGTCCCTTTTTAATGTTTTAATTAAAACAATTCTGATTACAATGGTTTGTCAGTCTAAAACAATATTAAGCGATAAGAACATCTGTTATTGATCCCTTTTGTATAATGACGCTGTTTTGTTTTTAACCGAGTTCAAAAAAGAAGGAGGTTTCTCAATTCGACCGTATATATATATTTTTATGTGTGTTCGCGAATAACTTTGTCATTTACGAACCGATTTTGACGATTCTTTTTTGTTGGAAAGCAAATATCTCAAGGGTGGTACCATAATAAGGAAACCCGGATCTGATGATGGTATCCCAAGGAAATCGAGGGCAATCCTCAAATGTTGTAAGTGTTGACAATGTTTTTAGTTTCCTGTTTAAGTCGGTTTTTTATGTCCAAAATTATTATTGTACAATAAATACATGACATATTTAGTGTACGTAAAAGAATAATTATTTGGAATGATTTAGCGACTTTTTATAATCTTTTTATTTTATTATCCGACAAGTTTTATTATATATTGAGTAAAGTATATATCGAAATTGTTGTATAATTCTAATACCTTTACGAGTGTTAATAAAGTTTACGGAGTGTAAAAAACCGGCCAAGTGCGAGTCGGACTCACATACGAATAGTTCCGTACCATTATCTATAAAAACGGTAAATAAATCATATTTGTTGTGTGGGAGCCCCTCTTAAATATTTTTTTATTTTGTTTTTAGTATATGTCAAAACATCATCTGTGAAAACTTCTACTATCTAACTATCACGGTTCATGAGATACAATCTGGTAACAGATGGTCAGACAGACAGACAGGTGTCTTAGCAATAGAGGCCCGTTTTTACTTTGGGTACAGAACCCTAAAAACACGAATACAGAACATAACATCATAGATATGTTATATTTTATGACATAATAAAGATGTTCTTGCTATCAATGATGTTGATTTATTTAGTTCAAAAACAAGGTAAATAAAGCTGTTTTAAGGAGTTTATCGAGTTTTATTTGTATTTGAAATGTCCGACATTTCGAACACTACACTTCATGGTCACGAGACAAACGGAGTCAGTAGAGCAAAATAGTTTTATTGAACCATTTATAGTATTCGCGTAAGTATATGAAATCATTATGTAAATGAAAAAGATGTTTAGATATCGGTTTCGGATACGTCTCATTTCAATGATCCAAATGGAGATATAGATAATAAAAAAAATAAAAAATAAAATAAAAATAAAATCTTTTATTTCAGGCTTAAGGACCCATATAGTGTTAGTAACAAAGAAAACTTATAACTATGTTAGTATAATATTATCCACATCGAAATTTATTGACGGTCTAGTGTCTTTGACAGTGAACGCGAGTCCAGTGCTGCATGATAGCACTGTCCACGTCCAATCTAGCCGCAACAGTCTTTACTAGAATGTTGGCGCTACCCCCCGCACCCGGTGAATCAATGCTGTGCGCTTTCTTATAATTGCTGACAGACTGTCAACTCCAGCCTCCACAGCATCCCTGAGGCACTACAAGGGCGGCGCATCCCCAACATTACTCTAAGGGCATTGTTATACTGAGTGCGAAGAGCCCTGTATGCTACTTGGGTGTAATGTGTCCAAAGGCTGCACGTGTACAAAGAGGTACAAAATGCTTTGAAAAAAGCGTAACTTTTACCTGCCTGGTACAGCGTGCAAATCTTCGGGCTATCATATTTGCCCTAACACACAAGGCTCTCCGCTCCCTTTCCATGTCCAAATCATCCTTGAGCGAGTCGGTGATCCAGTGTCCCAGATATTTAAATTTCTGCACCTGGTTCAGTGGAACTCCATTTAGTTTTACTACTGGAACTTTATAATTTCTCTCTTTAGCTTTAAAGACAAGGAGTTCACTCTTAGCAGTATTAATATATGTCTATTTAAAAAAATTAAAAGTAACAAATAATTCATGTATTTGTATACCACTCGTGTATAGAACAGTGAGATATTCATCGTAGGTCACCCCAATTATCAAATTGCTGACATTTGGCTTGGTCGACCTATTCGCCATCACTAAATACAATAATGTGAAGCATTGTGCACAATTGTACCCACATTTGTTAACAATGGATCGGCTCTGCATTGACATCTGGTGGGTCTTCAACGCACAATGACAGGGCTACTAGACATCGAAATGCTATAGCCTCGCCGCAGATAAAACCTTGAGTAGACGGGCGGAAAGTTTAATTTCGTTTAGCAAATTACATCTTAGAATTTGGATTGCTGCATAATTAAAAATAAACTATAATTCGGTACACGTAAAGTACAATTTGGCTCCATCAAGACGGCTCAGGCTTGCCGACAAAAATAGCGGGTCGCTAAATATCTCCCAATTGCCACTTGCGACGTAATCGCAGCGCTGACGAGGGGTAATAGCCATTTGCACTTTTTGTGCGTTTCGCCAGTAGACACATACATAACGCGATTTGTTGACATGTATATTTGTATTTAATTGATAATAGAAATGCGACGCGGGATGTCACGAGCGTTGTTATTGTTAGACAGTAATTACTCGTCTGCCGCGGCGCGTACAAATGCATCGCGTTATTTTTGACATAAATTGATTCACTGAACGCGGACGTCAGTAATTCGAAGTGACACTTGACGTTGTCGATTGTTAGGCTTATCGGCGCTGTTAAAAGTACACGCAGTGACCTCCCGCTCCGGATAGAGGCTACTAACTCAAGCCGTTTGCGCCCGGGCCTGCTAGCGTCGCCGCGGGACCGCGTGCGCACGTCTCGTCGACCTTCAAGGCCCGATATGATTTAAAGCAATTCGTGTGAGTTCAGGCATCAGTTCGACTCGAGTCACAACAAATTACAACCGCCGAATACTGCTGCGGCCGTCAAAGAAATGGCAACAACCAACGGATTCCCAAACGAGATTAAGGCGTCCGCCCTGGACCTCATCGGTGAGACACCGATCATCGCCTTGGACAGAATCTACCCGGGGCCGGGGAGAATTTTGGCGAAATGTGAATTCATGAACCCCGGTGCGTCGATCAAATGCCGCTCGTCGCTGCACATGATACGGAAGGCGAGGGAGAGTGGGGCGTTGAAGCCGGGTGCTCCGGTCGTCGAGGTAACATCGGGCAATCAAGGCTGCGGCCTCGCGGTTGTCTGCGCGGTGATGGGTCACCCATTAACGCTCACGATGTCCAAAGGTAACAGTGCGCAAAGAGCGATACATATGGAGGCGCTCGGTGCTAAGTGCGTCAGAGTGCCCCAGGTGGAGGGAACCTACGGCAACGTCACACTAGCGGATGTGAAACAAGCCGAAGCCGAAGGTCTGAGGTTAGTGGATGAGTTGGGAGCGTACTATGTCAACCAGTTTAACAATGAGGCCAATGCGGAGGCGCATTACAAAACAACAGGACCCGAAATTTGGAGACAAACCGGTCACCGTGTGGACGCTTTCGTTGCTACCGTGGGTACAGCCGGTACTTTTACAGGTACATCGAAATACTTGAAAGAGAAGAATCCGGAGTTGCTGTCGGTTGTTGTAGAGCCGACTGGTTCGGAGCCCATCAAAGGGAAGGAGATTACTAAACCCCTCCACTTGCTCCAAGGATCCGGCTACGGTTGCATACCCAACCTCTTCAAGTTCGATTACATGGACGACACAATCAGCGTCACAGACGAGGAGTCCGTCGAATACAAGAATCTGATCGGAGAAAAAGAGGGATTGTACGTTGGATACACGAGTGGTGCCAACGTGGCGGCAGCTGTTAAACTTTTACAGTCAGGCAGGCTACCAAAAGACGCGTGGGTGGTAACCGTGTTGAACGATAGCGGCTTGAAATACACGCCTGTTCCAAGGGACTGTCAGTAGATGATAAATATAGTGTTCCTTGTATTTGTAAGATAATATTATGTTACTTCCGATAGGTTATCGGGAAGATGTGTAGAGCTGTGTTATCTTTTAATACTTGTTATAATTATTGTATTAATGAATGTCTGTATATTTATTAAATTATTATCTTAAAGTATATAGTTTTACTCTTATCGGTGCCACATCCCCAATTGAACTAATCGCTGCAAAAGTAAATTTATTGAAATATTAAAACTATTCACTATTGAAGTCATATTGTTGTATTTGATACAGTATTAATATGCACAATAACATAAAAAATACCACAAATGATCACCTATTAGGCACATCGCTCCTCTCGAATGGCTTGCTACTATATATTATATAGATATGAAACGATCGGAATAGATTTGAATAGATGTCAATTCTGTTTGTTACGACATCATTTCATTTTGCAATTCCTTTCAAATAATGCATTTAAATTTTACTTTTATATGAAAATGTACGATACGATAACAGTTTATTTTTATATCAACGAAGCATCTTTATTACGTACGTTTTTTTCTGTACCTATTATATTTTAAATTAAATTATATCGACGTCTTATCACCCTATAATGAGAGCGTATAAGATGTTACTCTTAACATTAGTGTTGCGCGTTCGTAAAATTGAGTTCAAATGATTTTGTTAACAATTATTTTCAATAAAACTCGAGGCCTGATGATTAAGTCTATAACTTTGGCAACTAAATTAGACTTGTTTATCCGCTTGTTTATGAATGCTTATGCATGGACAACAACTTGGAATAGACAATTAAACATTCCAATGTTTTTTAATTTTTACTTTATCCGGAAGTTTTTCCTTCGAATGTTTTGCAACACTTAAAATCAAAAATGATAATTGGTTTAGACAGAATTTTAAGCTGATCATTTAGCATTTTAAACATGAATTTAAAACTTTGAATTTTAAATTTTGTAGATATATGAACAAAAACTTTCGAAGCTGCGGGATTAGAAGATGCCCCTGCTGGTTTGCGAACGTCCAAATTACCGCTTGTTCACCTTAAATGGATGGTGTCGGACAAAACAAATACGTATAAAAACATGGCGATCCGAAACAGTTATCACGGCCGAAATTATAAGTGTGAACATGTTTCCAAAATGAGTCGGTGCGCCTTTTAAAAGAGGCTCCACTCGAAACTAACGATGCTCGGAACTGTAATTTTGCATCATTGATTCCGGACAACCCATTAAGGGGATATCCACGTGGAATTGTAAAAAAGTGATCTATCCGCCAATGCAGCTGTTGGCAATTACCTAAATATCACCGCTCGTTAAATGGGCGTTCCCACCAAATTTTACGACCGAAAGCTGTTTTTGTAAACGGTGCCAATTCGCCATTTTTTATTTTTGCTGGACCCTAGCCAAAGGATCCATTCCTCGGATCCGATTAGGCTGAACCATTGGTTCGAGACGGCGACCCAATATTAAGTTATAAGTAAGTTAGTAGTATTGTTAACCATCAACTTCTCTCAATGACTAGCTTTAGCGCGTGAATAAGTTATTCCTTTTTCAGGTTAATTACGTGCAGAAGGCTTTGTATAACACTACCACATATTTCAGAGCCTGTTGAAAGGAGACAAACTATCGTAATTGTTGATTATGTCATCTAATTTTTTCAAAGTGTTTATCAAACCGTTCAAACTAAGCCTGGGTAAACATTGAATCAAACTGAGTATATGATAATAAATGTATTTGTTCAATCATAATATTTTTCCTACTTAGTACTAAGTCATTGTGATGGGTATTTTCCGACCTCTATTTGCACGCGTCGTTTTCCCTTCGATTAAATGTTTGTACTCGTGCCTTGATCGTCTTTTGGGAGTTTAGCGAAATATAATCCTACTTTCTATCTGATCTGAAAGTTTATTGGTTGCTTCTATTTCTCTAATCGCTTTTGGTTAATATTTGTCTACTGTATCCGACTGGGAGGATAATGACAAGCGTATAGATAACAATAATAAATGTTTCTTTGCTTCAAATTCTTGGGTCAAAAGAAAAAAACGTAAGTATGCTTTATGGATATTATGAAGCGCCCTTTTACATATGAACTTTCATTCAATTTTCTTTCATTGAAGTTCTGAAAACAAGTGCAATACTGATTTTCTAAACGAAGTTTTACTTGATATAATTTTTATAATCCTCATTCACACTTTCATATAAAATTCCATCTCCTATATACGTATATCCCTCTTACATAAGAAGATAATGTTAGTAGCATTTGATGTTGTACTGCTGGGCAAAGATCTGTTCAAGGCAGGGAGTATATTTAAAATATCACGTTTTTTTATTTCAAAGATATACAGATTTCCTCACACTGCGTTCCTTCACCACCGAACATGTGGTAGAAAAAATAAAAATATTTAAAATTGTCTAAGCAGGATTTTTTAAAACAATGATGAATAAGAAGATATATATTTCTTTGCGTTGTCTGTCATTCTGTTTATAACTTATTCCATTACTATTATTAACTTATTCCAAAGCAGTTGAGTTGAAAACAAGTGTTTGAGTGAAACTCAACTTATAGTAGTAGTTCATAGAGTACGTAACATTATTATTTGTTGCATATATTTTTTTTTATAAAGAACATGAATAGCAATGATTCACCTTTATCTCGAGTACCGTCAAACGAATAAATGCTATGATAACTGCTTATCATTTATTATTTTTATGAAAACGATAAATGTATTTCTTATAAACTTTTGTTGAAGCCGCTACGTTTGTTATACCGTAACGATAGTCATACTTTTATTTTAGAAATGCGAGATGTTATTGTCATTCATTAACGTTTAGGGCAGCTATTGGCTGGATTTATCGTAAAAATTGAATATTTTTTTTATTTTATTTATACTTTATTGTACACCAAAAAATACGTATATACAAAGAAAATTACAAATGAATGTAAAAGGAAGTACAATAGGCGGTCTTATCGCGATTTCTTCCATAGCGAAAAGAATTTTTGCTAATGAGACATAAAGAAGAGAGCAGAGGGACGTGCACATGAATACGTCAATGAGATAGTCAAAGGTTTCGGGAAAAATAGTAAAACGAAAAAGGAAATCATGAGTTCAATGGAAGGAAATGAAAGTTCCAAGTAATGCGCTTTTACTTGGTTTTTAAATGTAAGAAGAGACTTAGCTTGTCGAATGTGAAGGTACAAAGAAATCCACAAACGAACAGCTGTGACTGTAAAATATTTTTTGAAGAATGAAGAGGAATGTACAGGAGTTTGGAGAAATAGATTGACAGAAGAACGAAGGGAAATTTCATATTTTTTCTGTCATCAAGCCGTATGAGCTATAAATTTTTCATTAATGGATGGTTTCATTAATGGATTCATTTCTTTTAATAATTTACGAAAATGATAAAATTACTGTTTAAAAAATAAATCTTTTGCGACAAATTGTTAAACATGGATTTTGCGTTTTGAGAACCTTTGGTTCAAGCACTACTGGTATTCCAGGTTCAAAACTACACTAGTGTATGTTACTTACGTTACAGACGACCGAGCGTTACAGTAAGTTATACCAATATACGGTGCAGTAAGATATAACAATTTCATCGGTTCATAATTTAGCTTATAAGCATTTAGAAAGTATTCATTTTCACAGGCAAGCTTTTTTTAAGATTCTCATACCGTTCTAGGATTCCGATGCTTGAGAGAAAAGACAAATTGATATTGGAAAACTACCTTCTATTTTTGTTTACTTTTTTATAGTCTGTGCGTGGGCGTGTTTTTCTCTTCCTCCTCGGACAGGTCTGTGACGCGAGATAGCGCGCATCCATGGAATTGATTTAATCTGTGTCAATATTGACGCGGAGGCGTTGTGGGAACCGTGAGGTGTGCACAGGTGGCCCGTCTTCGGCCTCTATATAGCGTGATCGTGTAGAGACAAAGTTTTTTTTTTAACAACTTATTGAGAAGTTCCCGGTGGATGCATCAATTATTAGTACAAATGTGTTACGCTAAATATGTTATGTGATTTTATTTAAACGAGCATCAAAACCAACAAAATATTTTCTATTTTATGGCTTAATACAAGAACAAATTCTATAAGTTTATTTACTTAAATACAAATATTATGCGCATATACATTTTGCCCAGTGTTGCCGGTTGATGTTTCTAAAAGCAAAATGAAATTCGAAAAGTATTGCCAAAAAATGTATAATTGCAATGAAATATAGATACAAAAATATTTTGTATATATTGTATCAAACTGCGGAATCGATTATGCAGTGCTAAAGATTTATAATTTTTTTTAAGATGGCTACAAAGTTGCTTCCCATTTCAGTCAAGAAGTCTACCAGAGCCATTAATTATTTAAAAAAAACTTAATCGGAGTCATTATTTATTTAAAAAAAAAAACCTAAACGGAACCTTTACTTACTAAAAAAAGAATGTAAATTTATTTTAGTTATGTTATATGGAAGAAATTTTTGAACATTCTAATTAGCGTACGTTTTAAACATCCTGTATAGATCGAGGTAGTTTTAAAATTTTAAAACCAAAGTAAATATGTAATGTACACGAAAGTTTATTGGCCACTTAAAAGGGACACCTGCAAACACTTGTACCTAATGTGTTTATGACAAATCTGACTCGGGCAGGCTCTTTTCTTAAGGGGTACGGATTTCGTGTAAATAAAAGATAGTAATTTAATGAAATAATATTCTCAATAAGCCTAATGGTCCATAATATAATGTACCATATAATGGACCATAATATAATTATGGTCTCTTATAGTTTCTCAACAATCTAACGCCACATTTGTTTCACAGTGATTACACGATGGTAATTGATGATATGAGACCAATATTTCCGTTTACTTTATGCATTTCAATTTTATCTTATTAAGTCATTACTAATGACCAGGACCTATTATTAATAGTTTTTTTTTTATTTCAACCAATAATACTTTTATTAATCCGTATTTGCGGTCGATACGTATAGATGATGAA